CAGCCAGCAAATTAACCCAGGTGCCTGCTCCCCGAGCGAGGCCACTGCTGCCCAGCTGCGCTCCAACGTGCAAACTGAGCCTTGCGGGAGCCCCCCCTCCGACCCAACACCGCCAGGGGGCCCTGCACCACCACGCTGGCCACACTTCGCCAGCTCCATCCTGGGGCGCCATGTCGCCCGCAGATACCAAACTCAGACCTGGGAAAAGCTCACTTTCCGCAGGTGAGGCAACGGCTCACGCTGCTCACCTCGTCCTGGGAGAGGCTTCAATTCCTCTCCCCACACGAGGGTCCCTCTAGGGCCCTCCCGGGAGGTCAGAATGTCTTCTGATCTCCTGCCCGTGGCCTTCAAGGTGCGTCCACCAGGCATATTCAGGCACCAATTCCACGAGGGGTTTTACGTCCCTCCAGAGCATGCACACAAGGACAGACAAACACACACCTACCGCGGCCAGTCAGGCTCTCCGGATTGGGGTCCCTCATCGTCCTGGCTGGGGATCCCAGACGAATTCCCCCATATGTTACGCCCAGACTTTGTGATCCCCAAGGACCACCAGGGAGCCGAGTCTGATGCAATAAACAAAAGAGCCTTTTCCATGCTAGCATGGTCTCTGTCCCACTCACACCGGCAGCATGATGGAAGAGAGTTGAGTGGCCAGATTATTATGTGTTCAGAGATCATAATAATCTGGCCACTCAGTGTATATAGATATGATATACATAATATTAATAAACATCTATACAATTAATGTCTAGGTGTCCCTCACACAATGCCCTCATGTCATCACAAGATGTCCACCCCCATGTAATAAGATGTCTGCCCCCACGTTGTCAGAAGATTGCCACCACAAGATGGCCACCACAAGATGGCTGGCAGGGGAAGGCAATTATGGGCAATTAGACCAGCAGTGGAAGGAAGTTGGAGGTGAACAGGCCAGCAGAGGAGGGCAGTTGGGGGCAATCAGGCTGGCAGGGAGGGCAGTTGGGGGGTGACCAGATGTAAAGGGGAGGGCATTTGGGGGTGATCAGGCTGGCGGGGGAGTGGTTATGGGGTGGTCAGGTTGGCAGGCAGAAACGGTTAGGGGTAATCAGGCAAGCAGGCAGGCAAGTTGTTAGGAGTTAGCAGTCCCAGATTGTGAATCGGACCTCCCTCAAGGGGTCTCAGCTTGGAGAGGGTGCAGGCCCAGCCAGTGCATGAGTTTATGCACCAGGCATCTAGTGTAAGTATATAATACTAGAGGCCCAGTGCACAAATTTGTGCACTGGTAGGGTCCTTCTCCCTGGCCTGTGTCCTCTTGCAATCAAGGACCCTTCTCGGGATGTCAGATTGCTGGTTTCAGCCAGGTCCCTGAAGAGAGGCTGAGGGAGCCCACTAGTGCACGAATTCATGCCCTGGGCCTCTAGTATGCATATAAGATCTTTGATTAATCTCTTTCTGCCCTTCCCTCTCCATCTTCCCTCTGAGATTCATCAATCTGTCCCATGTTTCTATGACGGTGGTTTCCGCTTCTGCATTAAGCATGTGCCCTCTGGTGATCAGTGTTTGTAATAGCTAAAGGTTGAATGGTTGCTTAGGCTTATATATATATAGATGTCACAGAAGCTAAGTAGTAAAATCAAGCCCTGACCAGTTTGGCTCAGTGGATAGAGTGTTGGTCTCCAGACTGAAGGGTCCCAGGTTCTATTCCGGTCAAGGACATGTACGTTGGTTGTGGGCACATCCCCAGTAGGAGGTGTGCAGGAGGCAGCTGATCAATGGTTCTCTCTCATCTATGTTTATAACTCTCTATCACTCTCCCTTCCTCTCTGTAAAAAAAAAATCAAAAAAATAATATATTTTTTTAAATCAAGAATAATGAGTGCTAGCAGAGGTGTGGTGATGCTTGCTATTTTATGTAGGATAATGAGAGAAGGCCATTAAGTGCATTTGAGCAACATCAAAGGACCTGCAGTTATTTGGGGGAAGTATGTTCCAGGCAGAGGGAATAGCTAGTTCAGAGGTCCTATATAGTGAGTGAGAAAACATAGTAGGAATGATAAGGAACTTGAATGGTTTTCCAGTGAGAGAACACCATCTCGTTTCTATTTCACTAAGATCATTGATGCAAAACAGTGGACCCAAGACACTGGGGGGTGAGGACACGTATGGGAATGAGGTGGGGCAGGGGGAATGGGAAGATATGTACACATGTAATACCTTAATTTTAAAAAAGGAAAAAAAAAAGAGAATATGATGTTGGATTTATGATGACAATGGCTTCATTGTAATGGGCACTGGTCAGAACTCATCAGGAATATTGTGTTATTTCTGGTGCCATATTTTAAGCGGATATTGTCAGATGAAGAAAATTTGATACTGAAGAAATACCACGTTCAAAGAATTGGGGATGTTTAACCAGAACAAGAGAAGTCATGATGAGACATTGTAACTAGGGTGACCATATATTTGGGTTCACCAGGGTCTTTCCCTGTTTATTTCTGTTTCTCAGTTTCCCATCTGGCTTAGCAATGTCCCATATAGATTATTTTCACATTTTGAGAAAGAAATATTTTTTAAATGCTTTGGTATTAGAACATTTTTATAACTCTCCCAATATACTAAACCCTAACATTAAAAAATAAACACAAATTTTTAAAATTATAATTTAAAAATTATTTTGGTATTATCTTTTACTTAAAAAAGTGTTCCCATTTTGGATAGTAAATTATATAGTTATCTAATAACTGTCTTGCTGTTTAAAGGATTATCTTATTAAGCTATTTACTTTTATATGAAGAACTGCTTTTTTGTAGTTCACAGGAGATGATTTTTGATTAATTGGTACACATTGTAAGAAGTTGAATTGCAGCTCAATCTGAACTTCATGATGTAGTAGGATCTCACCTCTGGGAAAATTCAAGGGAAAATTCAAAGTCATCAAGGAAATTGATGACTGCTTGCATGCCATGGATTTAAAAATATCACCTCACACCTACCATCAATAATGTAGGATGTGGAGGAAAAGGATCCCAAGTACACTGCTGATGGGAATTCAGGCTGGTACAACCACTATAGAAAACAGTGTGGAGTTCCCTCAAAAAATTAAAAATGGAGCTCCATTTGACCCAGTTATCTCACTTTTAGGAATATATCCTAAGAAGCCTGAAACACCAATTAGAAAGAATATATGCATGCCTCTGTTCATAGCAACATTATGTACAATAGCTAAGATCTGGAAACAGCCCAAGTGCCCCTCAGTAGATGAGTGGATAAAACTGCTGTGGTACATTGATACAATGGAATACTATGCAACTATAAAAAGAAGTATCTATTACCCTTTATGACACCACATAAAGGGACCTGGGATGATTATGCTAAGTGAAATAAGCCAATCAGAGAAAGACAAATATAATCTCCCTTTATGTGGAATCTAATGAACAAAATAAACTTACAAACAAAATAGATCCAGAAACATGGAAGCATGCAATAGACTGATGAATCTCAGAGGAAGTGGGGTGGCAGGAAGAGATTTAACCAAGGAATTTATAGGCATATATGCATAACCGATGAACACAGACAATTGTGTGGTGAAGCCTGGGGAGGAGATGAAAGTGGGGAGGAGCGGGTCAATGCGGAAAAAAGGGACATCTGTAATACTTTTAACAATAAAGATAAATTTTTTAAAAAGGTCATTGATGCACAGTATTGTGGAAGAGGATTATAGATAGTTTGAGATGGGTATGAGGAAGGAACTAAGAAACCTGAAGAAAGGCACTGACCATTTCCACAGGTATTTAGAAGGTGGAATTAATAGATATCAGTGACTAGATATGGTAAGCAAGGAAGAACAAGGATTCTGCTCATATATATATATTTAAAATATATTTTATTGATTTTTTTAAAGAGAGAGAGAGGGATAGAGAGTTAGAAACATCCATGAGCGAGAATCATTGATCAGCTGCCTCTTGCACACCCCCTCCTGGAGATGTGCCCTTGACCGGAATCGAACCCGCGACCTTTCAGTCTGCAGGTTGATGCTCTATCCACTGAGCCAAACCGGTTTCGGCTGTTCATATTTCTGACTTAGGAAGAAAGAATGAATGTTGGTCCTATCAACCAAGATAGGAAATAAAGAAAAAACAGTTTTAATAAATAATTAGAGGAAGACCAAGGAAGCATGGCAGGAAAATTGCTCCAGTTTTGGACATACTGAGTTTGAAATACTTGTGAAACACCCATATAGACCTAACCAAGTGAGTGTATAGGTAGAGTTTAGAGTGGGAACTGGGAGAAAGTGTGAGCTGAAGTTATGGATTTAAAAGTAATTGGCATATACAGGCCCGGAGCAGACAGGCCTGGAACAGCTCGCTCCTCGCCTGCCCCCACCCCAAGGATGCCTCTCAGACCTGGCTGGAAACTTTTGCGGGAACTTGAGGGTCTGCTGAATCAAGTGATGAAGGCTTAGATCTGGATATGTTGAATTAGTATAGCGCTGGGGTGTTGATTTGTGAGTGCCTTGTGCGGGGCCTGGATGAGGTTGGTTGACCTATTTGGAAATGTCTTTTGTGTGAAGTGTATCTTTGGGCATGTGGAGGTATAATATTATTGATATGAGAAAATGCTAAGTAACTGATTTACTATCTGAAAAGGGATTTACTATGGGGGAAAGGGAGGGAGGAAGAGACTGAACATAAACTGTGCACCTATGGATGAGGACAATGGGGGAGGGGAAAAGGGTGGAGGGTGGGGTGGGAACCTGGTGGAGGGGGGAAGAAATGAGGAACCTTTGTAATAATGTGAACAATAAAAATTGATTAAAAAAAAAAAAAGAAAGTCATTGGCATATAGAGGTAATAGTTAAAACCATTGAAATTTTCTTTTGAATGGTGGTGTTTTGCTATTTAAATATTATTTAAAAATCTGAAATTTCACCGTTATTTGTTTCTTATTTAACTTCTTAACTTGTTGATAAAACTTTAGAAAGTACTTCCTCATGGGTATTTTTATTTGTGTCAATTCAGGAAAATTTGAACCTAGCCCTGAATTCTGCCTCAGCCATTGGATGTACAGTGGTTAATATTGGTGCACAGGATCTCAAAGAAGGAAAACCTCACTTGGTCTTGGGACTTCTCTGGCAGATCATCAAAGTTGGTCTTTTTGCTGATATTGAGATTTCCAGGAATGAAGGTATGATCATAAAAAATATTTACTTTTCATTTACGTACACTTACTGCAAGAAGAATTTATGTTTCTGTGTTTTCCTCTTAGCTCTGATTGCATTGTTAAATGAAGGTGAGGAACTAGAAGAGCTGATGAAGCTTTCTCCAGAGGAGTTATTGTTGCGATGGGTGAACTACCATTTGACCAATGCAGGATGGCATACCATCAACAACTTTAGCCAAGACATTAAGGTTTATATTTTAATATTCAAATTTGTAACATAAAGTAAGGATGCAGAAAGTAAAACAAAAGAGTTATAGACTTGCCTAGCCAATGTGTCTCAGTGGTTGAATGTCAACCTATGAAGCAGGAGGTCACGGTTCCATTCCCTGTAGAGCACATGCCTGAGTTGTGAAATCCATTCCTAGTAGAGGACACTCAGGAAGCAGCCTATCAATGATTCTCTCTCATCATTAATGTTTTTATTTTTCTCTATCTTCTTTCCTCTTGAAAGCAATGAAAATGTATTTTTTTCATTTTTTTAATTAAGGTATTATATGTGTACAATCTTACCATTGCCCCCATCCATCCCATACCCATACGTGCCCTCATCCCCCAGATTTTGCATCCGTTGGTTATGCTTATATGACTGCATAAAGTCCTTTGGTTGATCTCTTATCTCCCCCACATCTCCCTAACCTTTCCACTGTAATTTGATGCTTTATTGTTTCTGTATCTATATTTTTATTTATCAGTTTATAATGTTCTTTATTATCCATAAATGTGTGAGATCATGGGGTATTTTTCTTTCATTGACTGGCTTATTTTACTCAGCATAATGTTCTCCAATTCCATCCAGGTTGCTGCAAATGATAAGAATACCTTCTTTTTATGGCAGTATAGTATTCCATTGTGTAGATGTATCATGGTTTTCTGATCCAATCATCTGCTCATGGGCACCTAGGCTGTTTCCAAATCTTAGCTGTTATTGTAAATTGTGCTTCTATGAACATAGGGGTGCATAGTATATCCTTTCTGACAGGCACCTAGGCTGTTTCCAAATCTTAGCTATTATAAATTGTGCTGCTATGAACATAGGAATGCATATATCCTTTCTGATTGGTGTTTCTAGTTTCATAGGATATAGTCCTAGGAGTGGGATTACTGGGTTAAATGTGAGTTCCATTTTCAGCTTTTTGAGGGAACTCCATACTTTTCTCCACAGTGGCTGCATCAATCTGCATTCCCACCAGCAGTGCACAAGGGTTCCTTTTTCTCCGCATTCTCACCAATACCTGTTTGTTGATTTGTTAATGATAGATATTCTGATAGGTGTGAGATGGTACCACATTGTTGTTTTCATTTGCATCTCTCAGATAATTAGTGACCTTGAGCATGTTTTCATGCGTCTCTTAGCCTTCTTCTGTCTTTAGAAAATATTCTGTTTTGGTTCATTGCTCACTTTTTTATTGGGTCATTTATCTTCCTTTTATTAAGTTGTATAAGTTGCCTGTAGATGTTGGAGATTCAACCTTTATCAGTGATAACATTTGAAAATATGTTCTCCCATGCAGTGGGCTTTCTTGTTGTTTTGTTGATAGTTTCTTTTGCTGTGCAGAAGCTTTTTATTTTGATGTAGTCCCACTTGTTTATTTACTCTTATTTGCTCTAGGAGCAGTATCAGTGAAGAAATTTTGCTGCCTGTGGATTCCTCTAGTATTTTTATGGTTTCCCATCCTGTGTTAAGTTCTGTATCCATTTTGAGTTTATTTTTGTGTATGGTGTAAGTTGGTGATCTGGTTTCATTTTTTTGCATGTATCTGTCCAATTTTCCCAACACCATTATTAAAGAGACTGTCTTGACTCCATTGTATGTTCATGCCCCCTTTGTCAAATATTAATTGAGCATAGTGGCTTGGGTCGATATCTGGATTCTTTATACCAGTGTTTCCCAAACTTTTGACATATGTGTACCCCTTCTATAATTTTCGTAACGCTGAGTACCTCTCGTACTCATGAGAACATAGAATTAGGCACAGCTAAGCATGATGCAGTGCATATTCTCAGCAAACTCCGGTGCAACGCATACCCCACCAACGTGTACCATACTTTGGGAAACACTGTTCTATACAATTCCGTTGATCAATTATGTACTTGTGCCAGTATCATACTGTTTTGAGAACAGTGGCTTTGTAATTCAGCTTGAAATCTTGTATTGAGATCCCTCGTATTTTATTCTTCTTTATCAGGATTGCTGTGGCTATTCGGGGTCTTTTTTTATTCCAGATGCATTTTTTGAGAGTTATTTTTAGGTCTGTGAAATATGCTGTTGGTATTTTAATAGGGAGTGCATTGAATTTATAGATTGATTTGGGTAGTATGGACAATTTGATGATGTTGATTCTACCAATCCATGAACATGGTATGTACTTCCATCTGTTTAAATCTTTCTCTATCTCTTTTTTTAGTGTCCTGTTGTTTTCTATGACTAGGTCTTTTACATTCTTAGTTAAGTTTATTCCTAGGTATCTTAATTGGTGTGATAGTAAATGGGATTGCTTTTTTAGTCTCCCTTTCTGTAAGTTCACTATTGGTGTATAGCAAGGCCATAGATTTCTTGGTGTTAATTTTGTATCCTGCTACATGGCCGAATTTATTTATTAAGTCTATTAGTTTTTTTTTAATGGATTCTTTCTGGTTTTTTTTTTATGTACAATAGCATGTCATTTTCAAATAAGGACAGCTTTATTTCTTCTTTTGCAATTTGGATCCCTTTTATTTCTTCTTCTTGTCTAATTGCAATGCAAACAGGAGAGGTGAGTGTGGGCATCCCTGTCTTGTTTCTGTTCTTAGGGGAAATGGTTTTAGATTTTCCCATTCAATCTGATGTTAGCTGTGGGTTTATCATATATAGCTTTTTTTTTTTTTTTATATTTATTTATTTTTTTTTTGAAGGAATATTTAATATTAACATTGTAAGTTATTATCTTTTGCATATCCAAGTTACACATTTCAAACAAATCGTCATTTATATTTACAGTATACAGATGCAAAGCTTTAATTTCCCACTAAATCATCACTTTCTTAAAATGGTACATGTGATGTTATGAAATTAGCTATTAAGCATTCAAAATAGTGGAAAAGAGGTCCTTTCTTCAGTCTTTTTTTTTTTTTTTTAATATATATATATTTTTTTGATTTTTCCCCCCCTCCCTCCCTCCCTCACATCCCTTCCCTCCCCAGAGTTTTATGTCCATTGGTTGTACTTATGTGCATGTATAAAAGTCCTTCGGTTGATCTATTATCTCCCCCAGATCTTCCTCCCCTCCCCGCTGTAATTTGACAGTCTGCTTGTTGATATACTGTCTCTATATCTATCTTTTGGTTCATCAGTTTAAAATGTTCTTTATTATCCACAAATGAGTGAGGTCATATGGTGTTTTTCTTTCAATGACTGGCTTATTTCACTCAGCATGATGTTCTCCATTTCCATCCAAGTTGCTGCAAATGATGAGAATTCCTTCTTTTTTATGGCAGCATAGTATTCCATTGTGTAGATGTACCAAAGTTTTTTGATCCAATCATCTGCTGATGGGCACCTAGGCTGTTTCCAAATTCTAGCTATTGTAGATTGTGCTGCTATGAACATAGGGGTGCATATATCCTTTCTGATTGGTGTTTCTAGTTTCTTGGGATATATTCCTAGGAGTGGGATTACTGGGTCAAATGGGAGTTCCATTTTCAGTTTTTTGAGGAAACTCCACACTGTTCTCCACAGTGGTTGCACCAGTCTGCATTCCCACCAGCAGTGCACAAGAGTTCCCTTTTCTCCACAGCCTCGCCAACACATGTCGTTTGTTGATCTGTTGATGTTGGCCATTCTGACAGGTGTGAGATGGTACCGCATTGTTGTTTTGATTTGCATCTCTCGGATAATTAGTGACTTTGAGCATGTTTTCATGTGCCTTTTGGCCTTCCTTCTGTCTTCTTTTGGAAATATTCTATTTAGGTCCATTGCCCATTTTTTAATTGGATCATTCATCTTCCTTTTATTTAGTTGTATAAGCTGTTTGTAGATGTTGGAGATTAAACCTTTATCAGTGGTAACATTTGCAAATATGTTCTCCCACATCGTGGGCTTTCTTGTTGTTTTGTTGATGGTTTCTTTTGCTGTAAGAAAGCTTTTTATTTTGATGTAGTCCCATTTGTTTATTTTCTCTTTAGCTTCCATTGCCCTAGGGGCAGTATCAGTGAAGAAGTTCTTTTGGCATATGTCTGAGATTTTGCTGCCCGTGGATGCTTCTAGTATTTTTATGGTTTCCCGTCTGATGTTTAAGTCCTGTATCCATTTTGAGTTTACTATTGTGTATGGTGTAAGTTGGTGATCCAGTTTCATTCTCTTGCATGTATCTGTCCAATTTTCCCAACACCATTTATTGAAGAGACTGTCTTGACCCCATTGTATATTCGTGCCTCCTTTGTCAAATATTAATTGAGCATAGTGATTTGGGTTGATATCTGGGTTCTCGATTCGATTCCATTGATCTATATGTCTGTTTTTGTGCCAGTACCAGGCTGTTTTGAGAACAGTGGCTTTGTAATACAGTTTGAAGTCTGGTATTGAGATCCCTCCTACTTTACTCTTCTTTCTCAGGATTGCTGTGGCTATTCGGGGTCTTTTATTGTTCCAAATGAACTTTTGGAGAGTTCTTTCTATGTCAGTGAAGTATGCCGTTGGTATTTTAATGGGGAGTGCATTGAACCTATAGATTGCTTTAGGAAGTATGGACATTTTGATGATGTTGATTCTACCAATCCATGAACATGGTATGTTCTTCCATCTGTTTACATCTTCCTCTATCTCTTTTTTCAGTGTCGTGTAGTTTTCCGCATATAGGTCCTTTACTTCCTTAGTTAAATTTATTCCTAGGTATCTTAATTTTTTTGGTGCAATGGTAAATGGAATTGATTTTTTAGTCTCTGTTTCTATAAATTCGCTGTTGGTGTATAGGAATGCCATAGATTTCTTGGCGTTAATTTTGTATCCTGCTACATTGCCAAATTCATTTATTAAGCCAATTAGTTTTTTAATGGAGTCTTTTGGGTTTTTTATGTACAATATCATGTCATCTGCAAATAAGGATAGCTTTACTTCTTCTTTTCCAATTTGGATGCCTTTTATTTCCTCCTCTTGTCTAATTGCAATGGCTAGTACTTCCAGTACTATGTCAAAGAGGAGTGGCGAAAGTGG